CCCCCTCCCCCAAGTCCCCCACTGCTGAGGATGCAGCACGCTGGCCCATCCTTGCAGCCTGGAAGTGGCTCGTGCCCATGCGCACTGAAGTCGTGGACTTCGCTGCGGATGCGGCTGGTAGCAGCGCAGCATCTACACGGATGGAATCCTGCTATGATCTGGCCTATCGCGGAGTCCTGCCTAGTGCACTGGGACACTTCATCAAACGTACAGCCGACGCCGCATCCAATGAAGCTCCTATGGATCCGGACTCCTTGGCTGATGAATTATTCAGCTCCTCCCAAGACCTGAATGCTGCTTCTGAGGACGTTGCACACAGCCTCCGTAACCTTACATCCGCCGCCGGGGCGGGGGTCANNTGTCCTGCGCCTGCTATTCCTGGGTCTTCGCAGCATCCGTGCTGAATATCTAAAGCGCATCTCAACATGGGCGGACGCTATGGAGACGACCCTGGATGCCAATTCTGAGCCCGCTCCTCCTTTTCCCCCGGCGGCCCCTCCGCCCGATCCATTCCTAGGCTGGTTTGACTCTGATGCGGGATTGGAGGTACTCAGAGAACTTCGCTGGCTTGCTCCGGCAGTGGAGGTCGCGGTTGCACGGCTCCGTGGTGCATGTCGTATACCGGGGTATCGCCCTTCAGATGCCCGCCTCCGCAGTATGCTGCTTGCTGCTGGAGTCCCCTCCAGCCACCGGGGCAAACTTTCATGGGTAGTGGATGGCCTTCCATGGGAACTGGCGCGGACCCAGCTTTCTCACATTTGCCACTGCCCGCGCATTCAACCAGAGCCTCGCATCTCGTGCTGCAGCACCTGCCGTGGAGCACAACTGCAGACTGCAGTGGCACATCAAATGTGCCCTTGGTGTCGCCAAGACTCTGCACTTCATTGCCTGGCGTGTGGCTGCGCGCTGCATTTTCGTGGGGCATGTGCATGGAACAGGGGAGCCAACCGGCTGTTTCTCCCCACGGCGGAGGCCCCGGTGACGTTATGTCCGGATTGCCACTGGGCTTGGATGCGGGCTCGGGCATCACTCCCTTGGCGGCAGGCAGGGCCAGAGACGCCTTCAGCTTTGGTCACGCTGGTGGGCCACCTCCGCGGTAGGTGCGTCCCAGGTGCTGGTTTGCACAGTTGCCAGGTTGCATCCACCCCTAGGCAACGCCTGCGGCGCCATCTTCGCAGATGGCTCTCTCCACAGTGGCAACCAGTTGAAGTCGCGATGAACCACTTCCGCACCCTCTGCCAGCCCTGCGTGCTTGATGATGCGTTCCTGCGCAATGAGCTCCTGGTTGCCGTGGACGGCCTGGTTAGCTCCGGTAGTGCTCTCAAGCATGGAGTAGACAATCAGCTTCGTGTGCGCAGAGCCTGACAAAACATGAGCCCCATTTTGCATCTAACAAGCCTGCATGCCACAAGCATGA